GATACGTCTTCTGTTTCAGAGATCGAAAACTCTAATGTATCATTCAAATACAGGATTTTCGGATTACTTCGCACATCGATGTTTATAATTCCCCTACTCACATCCAGATCCTGCGTTCCAAGTTTCATTACGAGATCGACAACTGGGACGTCAGCAAAATGTTTGGCTTTATTAAATGAGTACGGATTTCTTCGAAATGACATAAACTGCAAACAAATCAGGATACAAAGTCAAGGTCGTCCAATCTAATATTATACTTATTATGATTTAATGGATATGTAAACAGAGTGAATGAAAACGTTCTTTGTTAGTTTCACGAGATAATTGGTTAATATATGCTGGAGTGCAACAAACCGGTAGTTACCATCGACCAAAGTGTTAGGATATTCATTATCGGCGATTAGCCAACATGTATTGTAATTATCACAAGTTTTAACAGAATTAGTTTGTAAAACTCAGAGACATAGCTAAGTACACATAAAATGTTTCAAACATTCAAGAAGTTTTGGAAATGTGGATATGAACCTCCACATCCATTTCACGATCCTTCGAATTGTGTCCAGCCAGGGACAAACGTGCGCGATGGAAAAATATCTGGTGTTCACTCACCTTTGTCCCTACTGGTCGTCTTAGTAAGTAGTCATAATGTTCATTACTATCAGGAAGTGTGAATCCACCAACAGCAGAAACGAAACGTTTACCGGATAGTTCATCAGGATATTCCTTCGACAGTTCCACTTTTATCTGTTGTGTTTCCAAGACAACAGGCTCAACATCTGGTAACACTTTCACTAATGCAGCAGTTAATGCAGTGTCTATGACATCCAACGCTGTGGTGATCACAGTCATGGACTAGTTATGTGATGATACAATGGGAATTATTCAAAACAGAAAATAAATAAAAATGTTCAAAATGTTGTACCAATATTTCAAAATGAGCAAAATGATTAAAATATATACATACATATTTACAGAAAGTATTATGTCAATATTCCGATGAAAAGAATAAACACTAGCATTTCTCGATTTTAGTTAATTCGCTAATAGCGGCGTGTTGTTATATATGTATAATGTTACGTTTTAAACACATTTTGTTACAGTTGCTAATCAACATACCTTTTCATCAGAATTCTCTGTTAAATTCACTTTCTTTTCTTGATAGTTCGCTGCAACAATTATATTTGATGACCCGAGAAATATTTCTGAAATGACAATGGTAATTGTAATTTACAATGTCCTATTAAGTAGTTATATACATAGTTAGTTATTGAACGTTTACATCACAGAACAGTACTGCAGAATTTCGGATTGGAAGGGATGATAAGAGGAGAACCAGTG